ATGGCCAAGAAGACTGATACAGCAAACTGTGTATGTCTTTTATTTATCGAAAATTCATCTTCTTCAAGGCTATGATTTTGTGCTGTCCCATGATGGTTGCTGAATGACTTTGTGGAGCATAACTGCACATCCATGCACCTGCACTGGATGTCAAAGTCTGGCCAAGTCATTGCACCCATGTGGTAGAGGGGCCAACAGCACAGATCAGCTACAATGCTAATTGGCAACTCTGAAGAGTAAGAGATTTAAAATATTATATTTGCATATTTCAATCATGAAAGGTTCATTATAAGGTAGAAGTATTCTTTTTCCTTAGCTGAAAAAATAACTTTCCGTCAAATTGTTGTCATTTGCTATGTTAACTAAGGGTGATATTTAATAAAGAATCCTTTTATAATGACCTATCCTCGAATTGTATAAACTCCCACAAAGTAAAAAGATAAAATTTTCATTATATCATTTCTGACAACCAGTACGATTCATTAAAAGCCCCCAAATCAAGAAAGAGGTAATCCCACCAACACCATGCAGTGATTTCTCATTAGAGGAGATAGTGAGATATTCCAACAAGGAGATTAATAGAAATAATGTATGGATCCTTACCCTACCTCCTTGCTGATTTACATTGTGCTATGTAGTTGAAACAACAGGGGAAGATGCAAAAGCTCTCATATGATTAATGCTGAAATACCAACCCTCTGGTTACTGTCGATTGTGTATTCACAGCAACACACTTGGGAAAATGGCTACAGAAGCACTTTCTATTCTGCTCTTTTTTGTCTTAAATCCTTTCTTTGCGGGTCATTTCAGGGACTCAAATTTATTTTTTATGGTAAACGGTGTTTCTCAGAATATATAATTTTTTTTTCAGAAAACCTTTCTCCTTCTAAAAATTGTATATTCCATCTTCTTTGCTCTAATGTTGAGATTCCCTGGCCCAGCATAAAACACTAAGATTTAGGCAATGTTTATTTCACAGGCTCATCAAAGAGACTTTTAGGGCTGGGAAGAAATCTTAGGGATTATCTAGCTCAACTCCCTCACTTTATAGATAAGAACACGGGGGTTGGGTTGCCCTCCCTGACTTTACCTTCTGCTTTGCCACATCTGATAGGGCAAAAGGAAGTTTTACGGAGGAGAAATCATTACTAAGGTAACAACACAGTGCGTGGGAAAAATGGAAGTATAGATGACAGAGAAAGATGAACTTCCTTCCTCTGTAAACAGATAAATGAACTAGAGGTCATGTCAGGCGGGCAGAAACAAACACAAATAGTAAGAAGGGCCATTTTATCTACCGTGTTAGCAGCTTCAAGTTTCAGCTGAATGAGGGAAGGATGCTGCTACATCCTCAGAAGACAGAAGGGAAATGTGATATGAATAGCCAGCCTGCCTCACTGCATGCCTTCCCCTCTGCACTTCCCTGCCCCCACATGGCCTGTCTTCTGTGAGGGAGAGGTAGGGACATGATCCCTTTTTCTTTAGCTTCAAAATTCATAGATATAAAAGATCTTTTTTCAGGGCCAAAACTACTGCAAGCAGTAAACAAACTACCAATTGCAAAGGATTTTTAACATGTTAAATATGCATATTCACAAGCATATTTACCTAGAGCCACACACTGGGTCCTCTTGGATAACTGGTTCCATGCCATCTTCCTATTATTGTCAGTATTTTGTAATGCATACTGTTTTATCCCAACAGAAAAAATAATGTGATCACCTTTAAGATGTATCTTTGTTAGAATCCTTACATCTGCTTCTCTCTTATTCTATCACCAAGATCCTATATTATCTGGATTGAAGAAGTAGAGAAAAGAAATTGAAGAAATAATACCACCTTAAATTTTTGGCAAACAATATATTTCAGAGAATTTTCAAATACAACAACATTTTGTTTTATCCTCACAAATAATCTTTTGAGGTAATTATACTGGTATTATTCTCCATTTCACAAAATAAAAAATTGGATTCTATACACAACCAGTAAGTAGACAGATTTGGGGGAGGAGGGCAGAATTATGGAACTGGAAGGCATCTAGTTCAATTTCCTCAATTTGAAAATAGAATAACCGTGGTCTAGAGAGGTTAAGCAGGTTACCCAAAGGTCATATGCTTTAAGTTTAGTGTTCAGATGAGATGCCCATCTGTTATTTCCGGCCTACAGCTTTGTCACCATGGTGCTCCCTTTCTCAAACCAGTAAAGATGTGTTGGAGTAGGGGATGATATCCATTAACTGATGGTAGACCACACTGTCTTAAATTGTTCCTTCTCCACCCCATCTAAATGTTCAGACTTTAGGACATATGAGAAATAATAAAAACTGATCCTTGGGTGTGCAAGTTTAGTCGTCAGACTGACGCAGCACTATTCAATTGGTAGAAAAATAATTGAATAGTGCTGTAAAAAGTTATTTGGGAGAAAGAAACCTTTGGGAGTCAAGAAGAGAGTGGGAGCCAGGTATGGTAACTTGAGCTTATAGTACTAGCTACTTGGGAGGCTGAGGAAGGAAGATTGCTTTTGTCCAGGAGTTCAAGGCTACAGTGAGCTACAATTGCACCACTGCACTCCAGCCTTGCAACAGAATGATACCCTGTCTCAAAAGGAAAATAAAAATAAAAGAAGATGGTGGTCTGTCATACAAGCACAAGGACCTCTTCCCCCCCCCCACCCCAAATCGGTTCTGGCTTTGTAACTCATACAGTTTACAGCAAGAGAATAAATATAAAGCTCCTACAATAGAGGAGAACCCAAAGCCCCTCCGTCAACTTGCTTTCTGTCATGGAATCTACAAATTAGAGCCTCCTCAAGACTGGATAAGAATATCTGAATTTTTTCATTTCTCTGTTTCTCATCCCTTTCCTGCCTTTTTCTACAATAGTCTCCACTCTTTTCCTTTTCTCTCCTCTCAGCTGCTTTCTTCCACATCTCATCTTTTTCTATATGCTGTTCTACCTGCAACATATTGAAAGCATAAACTAAAACACAAAATTTTCCAAACTGTTTTCTGTCCTGCTTGTTCTTCAAGGACCACATGAACTGTTTCTTCCTCAAAATCTTTCCTGCAGAGAGTATCCTTCAGGTTTTTTTTTCCATTTTCTCAATATCTACAGCATTTATGGTTTGTATCACTCATTTGGCACCTCTCAGATGTAGCCTCTTATTATTTATCTGTTGATCTCTGTCCTGTTCCCCCAACAAGATGACGAATTCCTTTCTGAAAGGCAGAAACGTACGTCTTCAGCATCTACCAAGGTGTCCTACACAGAGTCTATTATGGTGGATCCTTAGTATGGACCTGTTTTAATTTTGAAAATCTCATGAGTGGTTTGAACTTAACAGCCCCAGATGCTAGAAATATTTTATCATATCTGAAACAACATTCCCAATACTTAGTTACTTTCCAGTTGGACATGCCAAAAAGATCATTTAGGCAAGAGTTTTCATTTCAAATACTATAAACTATATAGCTGAACAATGTCAAGACAGCAGAGTTACTATTTCCCTTCATATAGTTTAGGTAAGTTCTCTTCATAGAGGAGCAAGTTGGACCTTCTCATGCAAATAAAAAAATTATCATTGTTTAGGCAAGGCTTTTGTGATAATAATTATAACAATTACTGGGTCCCTATTATGTACCAGGCACTATCTTCAGCTTCTAGTAATTGCATGAAATTCTGACAACTTTAATAAATACTGTATTTTCTGCATGTAAAGAAACTGGGCTTTAGAGAATTTAACAACTGGCCCAAGATCACACAGCTAGTAATTTTGGAGCCAGGATTAAAACCATTTAGCCTTACATATAATAGGAGCTTTAAAATATGTAATTATGATGATAAAATACTTTACTAAACTCCTCATAGTTACGTCTCTTATGTATTTATGCAGATATATATTTTGTTAGACTGTATATTGCAAAATACATAATCATATGAAGCAGTAACAATGTTAAATAATGTTACTACAAATACAAAAGAAAAAATTTTGGCATAATACATAAAATCATTGTAACTAAAGCTTCTGGAACCTGGTACGTATGTCCCCTAACCTACTATAACAAACCTATGTGGCGGGTATTACTATTATTATAATAAACAAGATACTGTAAAACTTGTGGTAATTTATAATAAAAAATTATAATAGAATCTAGTATCACTTGAAAGTTTTTTCACTTTTTTTCCATTTGTAGAAATCATAATAAAAATCATAATGAACTCTAGTGTACCTGAAAAGTTTTTCCACATTCTTTCCATTTGCAAATGTAAAAGTATCATTTGATAATAGATCATTAAATATCTTATTTATGTAAGATATTAAATACTACAAAGAAATATTAGTAGTTGCAATCTCTTCAAATATGTCTTTTCAAGCAGTTCATAAGGTTTGGTTACATTTGTGTCTGATAAATGCATTCTGTTCAATGAGAATTTGATGCAATTATTTTTAAGGTCTTGAATGCTCAAGGATTATTGATTTGAATCACATCAACTAATGGCTTAATCAACAGGTCACCTACAAACAGCAATATGAATTCATTTGATATACTGCTGTGCTTGCATTGCAAAATGATTTCTTTCTTTCCCAGACATAATTATAAAACTGTAAGAGATGTTCAATTATACATTGAACTTTTCTAAAAATTTCATTAGACTTTGTTTTTTCACATTAATTGAAATGTTCTAGAGGATAACCTACATGGAACCAAATTTGAGTATAGCTGTGGTGCCTATAAAACAAGGAGACTTAATCTTGTTAGTATAAATTCCATAAATTACTGGCTCGGGGACCTACAGTTGTGTTCTCATATGCCCAGAATCCATTTAGTAAATTCCCTTTGCCAATTCACTTAATGGCAGCATAGCACTCTCAGAAAATTGTTAACCAGTCTAAAACATTAACAATTTATGCTATTATACCATTATCTTCATTTTATTGGAGAAAACCCTATTGTAATTTTATGGCCCTTTGATTAATGCAGTATTTCTTTTTTAATGCAGGCAAATGGTTTAACTATGGAATTATCTTCCTCGTCTTGATTTTGGATCTTAATATGTGGAAGAACCAAATATTTTACAAACCTCATGAATATGGGCAATATATCGGCCCAGGGCAGAAGATATATACAGTGAAAGACTCAGAAAGCTTAAAAGATTTGAACAGAACCAAGCTATCCTGGGAATGGAGGTCCAATCACACTAACCCTCGGACTAATAAAACTTATGTCGAGGGAGACATGTTCTTACACAGCAGGTTCATAGGAGCCAGTCTTGATGTCAAGTGTCTGGCCTTTGTTCCAAGCCTGATAGCCTTTGTGTGGTTTGGATTCTTTATTTGGTTCTTTGGACGATTTTTGAAAAATGAGCAAGGCATGGAGAATCAAGACAAAACTTACACTCGCATGAAAAGAAAGTCTCCATCAGAACATAGCAAAGACATGGGAATCACTCGAGAAAACACCCAAGCTTCAGTAGAAGACCCTTTGAATGACCCTTCTTTGGTTTGCATCAGGTCTGACTTCAATGAGATCGTCTACAAGTCTTCCCACCTAACCTCGGAAAACTTGAGCTCACACTTGAACGAATCTACAAGTGCAACAGAAGCTGATCAAGACCCAACAACTTCTAAAAGTACACCTACGAACTAGACTCACAAAAAGCAACCCCGAGTATAACTTTAAAAATTTAGTCTTTCCTTTTGTATATGTAAGGTTTACGTAGCATTAAGTAAAAATATGAACAATGCCACAACGGTGCTCAACATGCTTTTCTAGGATTCATTGTTTTCTATTTGTATTATAATACACGTGCCTACTGTATACTTAACAGTCCTCTAGAGATTGCTTTTCACAATTGCACAAGCTATTACTGACTTTACAGCATAGTAGATGATTAGCTGATGACCCATGTATCTGATGTTCAACCATAGTGGTGCCTTGAGACATTAAACTGTTTTTAACTGTACCAGAAATGAAGTGTGGAACAGTTATCTAACCTATTTCACATGGGCATTTTGTATACAACTATTTTGATCTACACTTGATGTCTGAGCAGAAAACAAAAATAGCTAAATGTGACTCAGGAAGTATCTCTTGGTTTCTTATTCAGCAGCAGAGTTGGTGACTTTGACAACTGAACTGCAGAAAAACATGGTGATCACATTTTAATTTTTATTGGCTGTCTGCCAAATATAAATACAGATGCAGAATTCAGTAATAGGAGAACTATAACCCAACATGGGTCACTACTCGTGAAATGTGACTGTCTCCCACCAGTAATTGCAATTAGGTGATAATACCTAATTATGTTTTCCTAATTAAAGATAAATTGCTACTTGATTAAAAATCCTGCCCTTCACCTTTGGGAACAAAGGTTAAGATACACAGTTGGGTGAACTCTCAAATTTATTGGCATTTACACAAAGCCCCAGACAACCAAGGAACTGAAGTTTTCATCATGTGAGAGAAGCACAGCCCGCCATTTACAATATTTGTACATCTTTCTGCAAATATGGCTCCGGATAGTGAAAATTGAAAACCATATGCCAACCCTGAGCAAGGGAACTCCTCAAAAATCATGCAGCGGAACCTTGTCAGGTAGAAAAGCCGTGCATGAAAGAATTTGTTTAGTGTCTTGTTTTGCGTGTGTGTTGTTTTTGTTTTTTAAAAACTAAATATTGCACAATAAATAAGAATTATACATCATGAGCTGTTATGTGATGTTTTTTGTTTAATTGTATCTTAGCTTAATAAAAGTCAATTTTCATGGGGTTTTTTAAGCTTGATGCCAGGCAAGTTAAGAAAAGGCACACTGCCAACTGGCTTTCAATTTTGTTCCATGAATTGTGATTACATTTCTTGAGAGGGTGAAGGGAGATCACTTTTAAGGAAAAATTATTTTCCTGTCACACACTGACATAGCTGCATTTTGTCTTTATGATTTTTTAAAATCTCTCTTGTTTTGATCTATCTGCTTTTAAGCTTGCAGCATACTGAATTTAGCATGCATAATAGAACTATGCATTTATCTGTCACTTGAGAGCCAGCTTTAATAAACATCTTTACTAAGCATTTGGAACCATGCCCCACTGTTTCTTTTACCTTTAATAGCCATGCATGGTGCTATTTAGAATCATAAACATATCTGACACACACAAAAAAATGCCGAGATCAAGCTCACTCTAGTAACCCATTACCTATACTATCCAAAGGAATTTACCATATTATGTCTGATAGGTGCCAACAATGGCTATCACTAAAGTTTTGCAGCCTAGAACCTTCAACTTTTAGCCGTGGGACATGTAAATAATACCACCTAGTACCACATTTTTATTTATTCTGAAAGTCGTTGTCTTGTAAAATGAAGGGTTTATTTAGAAAGCAGATATTTATTATCAGTATGCATGTCTTATAAAAATATTATTTGAGAATTTTTACATGGGTATTAAGGGAAAATGTTTTAATGTAAAAATCTAATAGAAGTAAGACCAAAAAATTGCAAACCCAGAACAACATGTTTATGTTTGGGGATTAGCTAGAAACACTACCAAAATAAAATGAAAATATACATTTAATGTCCAAGGACATTTTAATAGTCAAAGAAGACTTCAGCCTTCTAAGGCTTCCACTATTGAATTGTATATATCGATAGTGACCTTTTCTTACCTACACATGGATCTACTTTCTTCTTTTGCTGCCTCTTTTGGGTATTGCATTTATATCAAGTAAAGATACTAAAATGAAATAAAAGTAAAAATCAAATCCATTCACATTCAGTCTTGAATCCTGAGTCACATACCAATAGACTGAGTCTGCGGAGCTTTTTGAATACCAAAACTTTTAAATCATTAAGGACATTTTTTAAAAAGATGCGTAGCAAACTCAGAAATTGAAGTTAAAAAGGATTTAAAAAATTACTAATCATAGATTCTAAAGAAAGCTTTAAAAATGTGATATCTTAATTGCAGTGATGCTTAAGTACTATAAACAATTATATTTCTACTGTTAGGTAATTACAGTATTTTCTTCCACACAGTGCAGAATTTGAATTAATTTGACACAATTTTAGTATCCTACATTTATAGAGTACTTCATTAGTAGTTTAAATGGAAAATTAAATAAACAGTATGAATCTGTGCCTGATAATATACACTTAGACATAAATCTCATCACCATATGTCTATTTGTATTGTATAATCATAATTAGATACCCCATTTTCTCCCCACGGTAGCTACTTATCATGCTACCTTATCTTTTAGCATATCTGAGATCACCAGCAAATTGTATTTAAAACATTAAGAATTATTTCTTCCCCATCTGCCCTAAGAGTCAAGCGGGAAAAATATCTTTTTATTTTTGTAGCATCACACTTCACACAAATCATGTCCAAAAACACTGCACCACTGGCTGACAGTTCAGTGGAAAGAAATCCAACACAGGCACTCATATTTGAAAGAGGGAATCAATACATGGTAGCTCACCACTGGGCTCCATAAGCAATTTTGTTACATTATTTGGCTATCCCATGGGTCACCAACACAGCCCAATACGAAATATGAGAAAGACAATGCTAATAAATCACTCTTAACTGTCCCTTTAACTGGTAATTCAGGAGGCCAACTGGATTATCTGACATTCAGCTAAGACCTCAGTACCCTAACGTTACTTCTCATCTATCTGTCTTCGCTCTGACCCTTACTTTAAATTTAAATTCATGGTTAGGCAGCTACAAGTAGGATTCCTCTAGCTTTGTCCCTTAGAACCCAACTCTGACCTATTAGCCAGCTCTTACCTTTAAGAGAGCAAGAGCAACTCAATTAGTTCTGCTGCAGATAAACTGGCACTTTCCTCATTTATCCCCATTTAGACTTTTAAACATGTTTGTGTGCATAGAGTTGTAGTTAGTGAGAACAAATATAGATAACTGAGTCAAGCTCAGAAATGTTTGACTTGCTACCATTTAGACTGGTCTAGAACTGTCTTATTTGAACAACTAGGGAAGTGTAGATGTAGTATTTATAACTCACAGTCACTCTTGAATAAACTAGAAAAAGAGGTAGATATTTATAATGAAATGAGAAGGTTAGGCAGATGGTGGAGAACAAGTGGAGGTTGCTGCAATGAAATCTTAGAAATAAAAACAGCAGTTTTACTTTGAACAGGCTTTAAAACTGCAGGGAGAGGATAGAAGCCTCTATGAAAGGAACTTTAACATAAAATTCTCATTAGGCCAGTAATCTTAACGTGTTGTGTGGAGGACTCAAAAGTTATGTTCAACATAGCTGAGTAAGGGTATTACATAAAAGCCTGGTTGGTTAGTTGGTTGGCTGGTTAGCTGGTTTCTTAAGCGTTCTAGCATTGAAGTTACTCTATGTCTGCTTCAGGGAGCATGATGAGACCTGGGAGGGGAGAAATGTTACTGTGAAACAAACTACAAGAGACAACATGAGAAGAGAAAGAAAAATCACCACATCAATTTAGAGAGACTGGAACATCCTTGATGGAAGAACAAGCATAGGGGCAATTTGGCTTGTGTATACTATCAGCATATAAAAGCTGATATCCTGTAAATGAAAGTATCTTGCAGGTACTTTGTGCTAGAGAGAGATTCTGAAAAAATTTAATGAGAAACAAATTTGGAAAGTATTACTAACTTAATATGTATAAAATACTACTGATAATATTTTAATTTAGTGTGAGGTATCAATTATTTTACTTCAGTGAATATAAAACATATTTCACAGGTTTATGGCTTACATCTACCTCCAACATAAGCTTTCACAAGGTCTTAAATTCCTTAATACTAACAGTACTGTTGGGCTTTCTAAGGACTTACATAATTGAGAAGGACCACTATAATTTATAATTGAGAATTACAGTAACAAAACCAATTCATAGATACTCCTTGTTCCAATAAACTTTTTCACCCTATCCATATCTTTGCTCAATTCTCATATTAACAATACTATTATTTTGAATATTTTCTATATGAAAATATCATATTTAATATTCACATTAATCTTAACCATTGAAAATAAGTATGGTTAATTTCACTATACAAATGATGAACCTCAAACTTAGAGAGGTTTTTTGACTTGCCCAAGGACTTAAAACTAGCCGAATGCAAAGTTAAGATTGGAATTCAGGCTTGTCTGACTCCCCAGATTCTAATTTTCCATCACAAACATCTATAAACACCCATCAAAACTAGAATACCTGTATCAAACGGGATCTTTGGTAAGGATAACCTGGGAAATGGTTGTAAAGCCATAAATATGCTCGACTTCTAGCAATTCTTACCTCTCAAGAATCTAAGTTAAATATCAATTTCTAACAGTTGCCTGGATGCAATTTACAATTTAAAGCATATGATTGAAACAGATAAAGTAAAATTAAATGGCAAAAGCAGTCAGTTCATTGCCAGGTGTTTTGATTTAAGCTGCATTTTTAAAACCACAACACAGGTTAGTCCCAATACAATTCCTAGCATTGAGACGTGTTTCTTTTATCATTTCACTTTCTTTGGGTAAGAGAGACTGGAGCTCTGCATGCTTTGAACACACCCAGGAGAATGTCAGAGGAAGAACCGGTAGTTACGAATATTAAAACAAGAGAAAAAAAGATTAGTTAATGGCCAGTTCTAGGAAGCATAATTTGAATATGAGCTCTACAGACAACAATATTTTGAAGTGATGACCCCAAATTCATTATTTTTAAGAATCCCTGTCAAGGTAGACTGGCCATGAAGATGTGTCCCTTGACATCATGAGCCCTATTCTCATCCCTGGAATGGAAATTACTCACAGGGTTTTGAAGAGGACCAAAGAAGACTGTGTATGTGAAAGCATGCCAGTAGCAGCAGCAAGTCATGCAGACATGAGGTGAATACGACAGGCGAGGGCTCCAGTCCCCTTTAGTGCCCAGCTTTCAACAGAACCCCCTTGGCTTCTTCCAAGATAACATGGTTAGGCCGTTTGCTCCCAATTTTCTGTACCTGCAGTTGTTTTGAACTCTACAAGCTGCAATGTAATCCCTTTTCACTTTTAACAGATGTTCAGATCCCTTAGTTTAAAGCAAGTGGTTATATTGTCTGAAATCAATGGTCATAATCCCTTGGAACTGCTGGGCCAAACTTATTTCTCAAGGTTTCCTAGGCTCTGGAGTTCTAAATTATTTCCTTCCTTTTATGATTGCTTTACTAGCTTCTCTTATCAGGACACTCTCATCTTGCCAGTAATCCACCACCTTTCATAAACCCTGAAGTGAAAGTGCTTGTGTCTTCAGCATTTCAAGAAAACTGACACATACACCTGAGCCCCTGCAATTTAGGATCTTCCGGCTGTATTTGGATGCAGTTGAGGTAGCCACTTCTGAATTGGGGTGTTGCTCTAGCCTTGCCTTTTAGAATGCTCACCTTGGTATCCTGTGGAATCAAGGCAACACTTCAGCCAAGCCACAGTGCTTCATAGAAGAAAATTTTAAAAAGTGTCAGGGTTTTCCATTCACCATATAGACTTATTTGCTTTGAATACATCATCTTATCCAGATAGTCCAGTTGACTTCAAGCAAACCACACTAGAAAAGATCTGCACTTAAAAATAGTTACTCTTGACTGAAACAAAATATGTAAGATGAGAGGAAGGGCAATGGCCATATCAGGAAAGATAACTCTAACAATTACTCCTCAGGCTTGATAACCATGAAATTACTATAAAATTATCTTTGAACAAATCATGTTTTTGAATTTGAGGAGCAATATTTTGAACTTCAAATACACTAGAAAACTCAGAGGCTCTGTCATTTACCTATCCCAATGTTCCCCAAAATGAATAGATTTTACATACTTATGTCTCCCATAATCGGTCCACTATCCTATTCTCCATCATTATCACTACTGCCATACAGCAATCTCATTATCTATTCCTAAGATGACTGCAACTGATCTTAATTGGTCTTCCCAGCTGTCACCTTTTCCAGTGCTATCTATTCTCCACACTTGTATCAGAATATTTCTAAAGTGTAAATCTGAATGTGACACTTCACACTTCCAGTGGCCAGTTATTGCCCAGCAGTGGTTT